TCACGACTGTGTAAATAAAGTTATAAATCTTTGTACATTTTGACAAGTAAATAGTTGGAAAGGAAAAGAAATTAGATATTACCTGAGTTTCTAATATGAGTTAGTGATATGAACTTAGTAAGTTCTGAGCCTTGTGCATTTGTGGGACTCCCTCACAAGTGCACGGCGTCTGCTACGTCCCCGGATTTGGGTTCTGGGGCGTGACAAATTTTGTGGTATCAGAGCCTAGGTTAATTTAAGAGCCTAGGATTAGTCTAGAACTTGGTTAGCAAAGAAATGATAGGAACGTGGTGAGGTATGTGAGTGGGGTTGATTAAAGGCGTTTGTTTGATTCTCTCTTTAATGTGTGTTGGTTTCCCTTGTTTCGATAATCTTGTGTTGCTTAGTCCCGGAAGTGGAAACTTGCCAGGAAATTTCTCGTGGGAGCATTTGATTAATAATCTATGAACCTTTTATGTGGTTATAGATGGCTCCAAAACGGCGTGGGCGTCCTCCGAGGGGTAGCCATAAGGATCAGGGCACGCCTCCGATCCCAGAAGCTAGTCCCCCCACCCAAGCTGCTCCGCAGGAGGGAGGGACGAGCAATCCCCAAGTGGCCAGCTTTGCTCGGGAACTTATGGCAGAGATAAGACGCCAAGTATCTCCTGCCACAAGTGTACCACCTCCATCCCCGGTGGTCTCCACTCCTGTGGCCCCTGCTTCGGTTTCCCCTGTTCCTATCTCTTCTACTCCTGCTGTGCCTACCTGGAAGGTTTATACAGAATTCAAGAAGCTGGTGCCCAAGGGATTCGATGGTACAGCAGGTTTTGAGCAGGTAGAATCGTGGATCACCGAGGTGGAGCGGGGATTCTACTTGCTGCATGTTTCCGATGACCTTAAGGTCAATGTAGGCACCTACATGCTTACTGGGAAGGCATTAACTTGGTGGGAGAGTTATCGGAAGCTGCACCAAGGAGAGCCTGAATTGAGCACCTGGGATGGTTTTAAGAAGGTGTTCATGCGGGAGTACATACCGGACAGCAAAAGGCGGGAACTGCAAAGAGAATTTGCAGATTTAAAGCAAGGGTCAGGTACTGTTGAGCAGTACAAGGAGGAATTTGACCGCTATCTGCCTTTTGTGGGTGGCCAAGTTGGCGATGAGCAAGCCAAAGCCGACAAATTTCTGTGGGGCTTGAATTCTGACATTTACTTGGCGGTAAACCAATTTAAACCCGCCACTTATCGAGAGGTTGTGGACAGAGCCATAGATCAGGAGAAGGCTATGGCTAGAGTCAAGCCCTCAGGGCAGCCTAGTGGTGGGTCATCCCTTGGGAAGAGGAAGTTTGATGGGAGCCGTCGGTCCCTTTTCCTTACACCACCTAGATCTGAGATCAGCAAGGGCTCTAGATGGTCAGGAGCCACCAAGACAGTGAGTCAGGCATCATTGGCCCCACGTGCTCGTCCTACTCAGCCTATTTGCCACGTTTGTGGGAAGGTCGGGCACACCCGGGATCAATGCCACATTGCTACTGGGGCTTGCTTCAAATGTGGCAAGCAGGGACACCAGATTGCAAATTGTCCACTGCTAGACCCCAAGACTCAAGGCACTCAACCTACCTCTCCGCAGGGTTCTACCAGTCAGGGGGCGCAGAAACAGAGTATCGGGGTTCGGACAAGAGCCCAGCAGGCGAGAGTGCAAGTGATGACTCACAAGGAAGCTGCGGCCACCGACGTAATCATGGGTACCTTGCCTGTTAACTCTGATTATGCGCATGTTTTATTTGATTCGAGTGCATCGCACTCTTTTATTGCTTGATCCTATGTTTTGAAACGAGCTTTGCCTATTGATATCTCTGATTGTGAACTGCGTGTGGACACCCCTTTAGGAGGGGTGATGACTACTAGGGAGGTGTGTAGAACTGTGGATATTTATGTTGATGGTAGACAGTTGAGTGCTAGTTTGTTTGTTTTAGATATCTCCGACTTTGATATCATTTTGGGGATGGATTGGCTGTCTAAGCACTTTGCCTCTATAGACTGTCATTGGAAATGGGTAAATTTTAATATTCCTGGTGAGCTAGAATTTAGTTTTCAAGGCAGTGGTTCTTTTGCTCTACCCGTGTTAGTATCTGCTTTGCAGGCTCAGAAATATCTTGTAAATGGTTGCCAGGGCTTCCTAGTCTCTGTTACTGATGCTAGTAGTGTGACATCGAGACTAGAAGACATACCGGTGGTGCGTGAGTTTCCGGATGTATTTCCGGAGGATCTCCCAGGTTTACCTTCGAATAGAGAGGTTGAATTTGCTATTGACCTTGTTCCTGGCACTGGACTCATTTCCAAAGCACCATACCGTATGGCTCCTGCAGAATTGAAGGAGTTAAAGGTCCAGCTGGAGGAACTCCTTGAGAAAGGGTTTATACGCCCTAGTGTGTCACCTTGGGGAGCTCCAGTGTTGTTTGTCAAGAAGAAGGATGGGAGCATGAGGCT